GTTGTTGGATCCATACCATATTTTTATCTCTAACTTTTCTTTTTGTTTGTCGATAAAGAAAAATATTAAATTACATTGTCATATATATCGACTGGACATCGGACATTGTACAGAAGTTTTAATTACTGATTTTATTAAATGGAAATTTTTATTAAATGTCATTAACATTGTAAATAAATTTAAAATTGACATTTTTAATGATTTTTATTCTTACATAAAACATATGTGTAAGAAAAACTATCTTGTTCTCATTATAGAAGAATTAAAAATAAGAAATAAAAAATAAAAAAAAAAAAAAATTTAATTAATTATTCGAAAAATATTTATCTCACATTACCGAGATATATTTTTTTTTTATTCATTAAAGACAAATGCACGTGATAGTTAAGCTTCGACAGCTGATAATGATTATTAGTCGCATGTACTATAATAACATGCATACACAACAAGTCAAACATTTAATCTTCATTGATCACTAGGTGTACTATAGAAACCTCTAGAAAAATTAAAAATTAAAATTATTCGTGACGTAACTATATACTTATTTTACGTATTTTCCCACGTTGTTAAAATTTTTCCTTCAAACTTGTTAATGAGAATAATAACTTTTTATTATTCAGTCATGTATAAGATTATTATTATAGTATTTTTCCAATAATAAAAAAAAACTTTATTCTCACAATGATGATGGATTATTATTAAAAGTATTATAGGGAAAATTTTTAAATAGTTTATATATAAAAAAAAAAAAAAAAAAAAAAATGGTCTAATAAGATGATGATGTTCACGTGGGATCTGAGTTGTTCGCCATGTGATTCTGATAATATAGTATTTTAAATCATTGTATAATATATATAAATAATTTTTTTTCACGATAAATTAACGGGTCAATTGACTTTAAACATTTAGCAAACTCAAGTAAAGATGGAAAGATTATTATTATTTTTAATTATTTTTTTATCTTTATATGTATATATATATATTATAGATACCCAGAGTTAATTAAAATATCTACTTTATCTAACATTATTTAAAATAACTTATAGATGAATAATGAATGTTTTTTTTTTTGTTAAATTACGTAGAGAGGGGGCAAGAAAGTAAAAAAAAGAAAATTCAATTGTCATTTTAAACAATCGTCTGGTGAAAATAAATATTAACATAATTTGATTATTTGCAATACAAAGTACTTAGTGAATTGTGAGAGAGAATACGATCAACTAATAATTAAATAGTTGAGTGTAAAGGTCAATGACGTATGCATAAATTGTCTACTGTCATTCAGAAATGTGAATTACTTAATCAATTAAATAACTAATTTCATTAAAATAAACATCAAATAATAATATTATTATTGTTTTTGAATTAACAAGCTAATTGATTTTGTAATTATTAATTTATAAAATAATAATGATTATTAATTGTAAATATAATCTATAATTTATTAAATACTTCCGACAATAACGATAACACCGCAAGTGATTAATATTGTATTTTTATAAATTCATTTATTTATATCATTAAAATAACTTTAATATAAATATAAATAATATCAGCTGATAATTAGACAATTAGACGAATAAAATAAATTATTCAATGTTTAACTAATTTTATTAGTGAAAAAGCTTTTTCGTAAAACAATTAAGTACATTATTCATTTTCAATATTACACAACGAGTACGCGTCGTAATCTCAATCGTTCATTATTATTATTATTATTATTATTATTTATTTATTTATTAGATTACCTCTTACTTGATGATTTTTTTGTTCATGTTGGTTTAAAATTTTTCATCTCTTGACGTGTTAAAATTTCTTATTATATATGTATATAGGTGTACGCACAATATTATCGAGCGTACACATGTGTATTAAACATGACAAATGATTAAGTATGATAAATATCATTTTTGTGTATCAAATAATATCAATTGTATTGTTAATGAAAATAATAAAATATTAATGGCACAGGATTATTAATTAACTAATTAATTGATTGATAATCCGTACCCATCATCAGGCATCGGTTGAAAATTTTATTGATTGATTTTTTATTTAAAAAATCTTCTTTTTATCTTTCATTTTATTTATTATTAATTATTATTATTAATATTATTTAGCAATTATTAATTATAAATTTATTTGCACTTGTGTGTCAAATTTTTGAAATTATAAATAAATATACATACATACATAAAAAAAAAAAAAAAAAAAAAAAAAAAAAAAAAAAAA